CTGCTTGTGAGAAATCGTGGAAAAGCTTGGGAGGATAGGGCCTCCCACCGAGACACTTTGGCCCGCAGACGCGAGCCGCTCTGAAGATACGCGCCTGCAAAACTCAGCTTGAGCGCAGAACGGCTTCCCTTGTTTTAGGGGGTGCACCAAATACACGTGGCAGGCACAGAAAAAGTACCCCCAAGGGGGTACGATCGAAGACAAAGAGGGCCGGTGTCGATTATTTGGGAGATACGTGTTGATCTGCACGCGAACAGATGCGAGCGAGCAGTCTTACAAATTGTTGTGGTTGTGGTTGTGGTTGTGGTTGTGGTTGTGGTTGTGGTTGTGGTTGTGGTTGTTGTTGTTGTTGTTGAACATTATTAATTCTAAAGAATAATTATTGTTGGGGCCCCTGGTGCACGGCCCCCCTGCGCCGCCTAGGCCGCAGCTACATTTTCATCATTTTCGTGAGGAAGCCTCAGGTAATTCGATGTGATCAAGATCCGGTTGTTTTGTTCCCCCCCGCTTTCCCTTGCAAAAAACACTATAAAATGACATTTCTTGTTCTAATATAATCAAATTTCAAGAATCCCTTGCAAAAAATAAGGTAAAGTGGACATTCGCGCGCGCAAGACGAAATCCTTCCAAAACCTTAGTGTTCGCAGCGATTTTAACATAAAAACATCAAAAAACCAATGGTTTTTCAACAAAAAAATGTCAAAATCTCATCCCGCGCGCTCTTGCGGATTCGTAGGAAACCCAACACTTTTTAAACATTTCTGTCAAACGGGCTTTTGCGAGCAACTTTTTCGAACTTCTGCGACAACGGTTGCGCACCTGCCAGGGCCATCATCCCTGTCAAATAATACCATGCGGGACACATTCGTTTTTTCTTCGCGCGCGCACGCCGAAATCTCCAAAAACCATTGGGCTTCTTAAGAATTTTAGCACCGGCATTAACACACTTCCGTGGTTAACAAGGCTTAAAATTTCTGTGGCGCGCGTAGGCTTAACAACTTCTGTGGGTGTGTACTCCACGCCAGTGTAGTAGCCACGGTCGTCCGCAGGCCACGAAGTGAAGTGTCCGAACGTCATAGGGCGGGAAGCTGGGTGTGGGTGGTGGCGAAGAGTCGTGTGGATATTTGGTAGAGCTTGCACTGCCCCCCCACAAAGTGGGGGTATTGGCTGGCGTCGCATGAAAACCCTGGCACTGGTGAGAACACTGAGCGTTCGGGTAAAGTGATTGTTGTTGTTGTTGTTGTTGTTGTTGTTGTTATGGTTGAATTTTCATTACAGAAGAGTAATTATTGTTGATCCCCCCCTCTGGTGACAAATGTGTTTTTTCAATTGAAGGGCCCCTCTTGGGGCTCGCACCCTGTTTTTTAACAGAGTCTTCCTCCTCAAACTGCGCCCCTAGCCCCCGGTTTACAACAACAGCGGCTCCCGCATGATACTTCTTCGCAAGATATTGAGGAATCGCGCTCTCGCTAGGGACTTCCTTGCACTTGATACAAGAATCGCGCTCTCGCTTGTGACGTCTTCAGAATTTATTCAGGCGCCACGCTCTCGCCATTCAGGAATCGCGCTCTCGCTTGGGACTTCCTCATCATTTACTTAGGAATCGCGCTCTCGCCCGAGACTTCCTGGCGAATCATGCAGGACTCACGCATTCGCGTATCATTTGTATTTTTCAATTGAAGGGCCCGGGGGGTAGGCGATGGAATCGGAATCGTCGGGTGCCGGCCTCAGGCTTGCAGAGTGTCAGGGATGCGATTAGGGGCGGGCATGGGGCGGGTGGGAGGAGGGGGAAGAGACAGGGAGGGGGGCCCAACGCGCAGGGGGTAGCGCGGAGGAAGGCGGCGCTGGAGTGGGAGGCTTGGGTCATGGAGGAAGCCGCATCCTTCCCCTCTGGCCCCCCCTCTTCCGAGAACGCCCGCCACCTTCGCCTCTCGTCTGCACTTATTGTTTCCTGCCTTCCCTCCTGCGCGCTGCGCGATGTTTCCCTTTCCCCCCTCCCCGCGATTCCGAAGGCCAGGACGGGCTCGCGTTGGCCCAATCGGAAGTCCAACTTTTATGAAGACAGCAATTTTCTCGGTGCCCGTTTCGGCTTTTTGTCTTCCCACGAACGTTGACGAGATGAAGGGGGAGGTGGCGACGTTTGAAGAGGCCCTTTTCAATGACGGTGTCAGAGACGACCAACCCCCGCCATAGGCGTAGCAGCATTGGTCACGGGAGGACGCGGCGAAATTCCCGCGCAAGTTGAATGTTGCATTTCTCCGCTCCTGTCTGTCTGGGGTGAATCCAGGCAAGTCATGCTCGACAGACTATTGCGTGGTAGGGGAGATGAGTCAACGCCGTAGTAACGACGCGCTTAATTTGCTGAACGGGCTGTTCTTGCTGCGCACCATTAATTATCACAGTGAGCAGAGTGACCGTATTCTTGCACGGCGCCAAGTAACGCTCGTAGCCAATTTCTGGGGAGCCTGTCGGGCCAAGGACTTCCGACCGATCGCTCTCCTCTCTTGCGTCCTGACATTGTTTTCGATGTGCGTGGGGGCTCTATTCGAGTTCGCGACTACGAACTCTCACCTGCTCAGTTCGTGTTCCGCAGGGACTTCCAGGCCCGCGAGGTCGTAGCGACAACGATATTTTTGATAGAAAAGCGGAGGAGTATCAGGGGGGCATTTTGACTGGGGGATAGGTGATTTCCACAAAGCCTACGACCACGCCCCAGTAGGAAGATTATCAGAAACCATCGCAGGAGGGGGGTCCGTAGATCATCGCCGCTGCCTGGCTTCGAGAGATTCGCGGGGGCGCCCCCGAGCTATCTTACCGGGACTGCCTGCGACACGAGCTGTGCCTAAAACCCGTTCGTTGCTGCAGGGAGACCCTGAGGCCCCGTTTCTGTTCTCCTTTGCGCTGACGATGCTGTGCGCGGTTTTTTGAAGCTAGATGCGCATCGGGGTGTGTGGATACCCATTGCAGGAGGGGGACTTGAAGATCATGAGACAGAACATGCGAAGGAGGCAGGAGCTCAACGTGGATTGCCCAAACCTTCTTCTGTTTGCTGACAAGTACTTTGTCTGCGCTACCTCAGTGGCCATGTTGACTCAAATGATGACGACATGGCGCGACATCATCAGTAAGTACGCTGTACGACGAGTGCTATTGGATCACCGCGGCGCCTAACACCAGCCAGGTGAAAACACAACTCCCCGAAGGTATCCGAAGCACAGGTATCAAGATGTTGGGCGCCCATGTTTCCTTTGACGGCAGCGCAAGGTCCGCTGTGCAGATGGGCCTCTCCCGCGCGTAGTCGACCTTCGCCAAGAATCGTGAATCGCTTTGTGCGCTGGCACTGCTCGACAGGACGGCACGGGCAGCAGCATTCCATTGTTTCGGTTCCCTCCTTTTCACCCGCCACCATCTGGGCCAAATCAGGGCCACCCAGTGTAGAATGATAAGATGCATGCCCGAGCTCTCCATGCATGGCCAGGAGGGGATTTCCGAATGCATGAACAGTGTCCACCGTCGCGTTCCAAAAACCCTCTTGGATCACGGGCCTCGTCCTTGGGGCCACTGCGCTTTGCTGCTTAACCAGGCTCGGGCAGGCCACCTGGTGCGCGTGAGCTCCTATGACACACGGCGTTTGGTTCTAAATGCTTTCTTTTATCATAATGTCAAAAGTGGAACACCTTGAGAGCATCATTGGGTCCCAGGGACACCAGAGGAACTTCAATGCATGGCGGTGGGAAGAGCTGGTTTACCAGCTTTTCGACACGCCCGACTGGCACCGATATGCCCTGCAGCTCGAGGAGTGGCAGTCCTATTCCGAGGAGTGGCTGCGCTGGAGACTCGAGGACATGGGTACCCAGACAGGGAAAAAGCTTAGGACTGGAGGAGGCGGCAGCCCGGCGTGCTTACAGATGGCCGACTTCGCCAAACAGCTGGCCACCCTGTCCTTTGAATAGCTGTCGAGTCTTGCCAGCCCTTCTTCTCACACTACCTCTTCCACACCGATATCTCTGTCCGCTAGGTCCCTGGTGTCACCTTTCCGAGTGTTGAGATATGATTATGGCGATGGTGATGTTGATGATGATGATGATGATGATGATGATGATGATGATGATGATGATGATGATGATGATGATGATGATGATGATGATGATGATGACGATGATGACGATGACGATGACGTCGATGTCGTCGTTGTCGTCGTCGTCGTCGTCGTCGTCGTCCGGCCGTCGTCCATGGCCCGTCGTCGGCGTCGTCGTCGTCTTCTGCAGCCGTTGGCCCAAGGGAAAAGGACCTTCGAGGTGCAGAGCGCCCGGCCTTCGCCACCACACCCCGTCTTTCTGTCGCCCAGCCCCGCGGCAGATGGGCGGCCGGTAGCTGTCCAACGCGCCCATCGAAAGGGCGCGATGCAGACACCACGGCGCGTGGTCGACGATGGAGCCAAGGAGTTCGGCCAAGGAGTTCGGTGCGTGGACGCTCCAGCGTCCCACAGGTTGGGCCGCTGTGGCGCCGACGCTCCAGGCCTGCCAAATGGGGTCCGAGTAGATGGGGTTGGAGGATCGCTCCGCATCGCCGATGCGGCTCGATGTGGAGCCCGCTTTTCTCCACGCCGCTGTCTCTGACGCATCGACGGCGTCGCCGATGCGTCAACGATGCGTCTGCGATGTATCAGCGATGCGGCGCGTTCCTCCGACCCCACCAGTTTCGGACCACATCTAGGAGGCCTATACAGACGCTTCGGCGTTCCACGGGCTGGGCAGCGTTGGACGCCTTCACATCGAGGTCCTGGGCCGACCAGCCGACGTTCGACTAGACCTTTGGTGCGGGCACAATGGGGCTCCCCGATCGCCGAACGCGGTGCGATAGGAGCGCTTTCCGCGCCTGTGTTTGGTCCCCCCGCAGCCCCCCAAGAGCCGCGCACCAAAGGTCACTCTTACCCAGGGTCACTCCTACGTGTAGCCGAGACGTGGTGTATGCATCGGGCCCCTCCCAGTCCAGAAGCGATGGGGCGCGGGGCTCCGGCCGTCCTCTGCGGGCTGCTGCTGGCGGCGCTCCTCGAGGCCCCGCTGCCGCAGGCGGCGCCGCTGCCCCTGGAGCGCCGCGGCGGAGGCCTGCCCGCCGCGGCGGGGCCGCGGGCGCCGGACCTGCGCGAGCAGAGCCTGGTGCAGCTGGCCAGGAACCTCACGCGCTCGAGGTGCGAGGTCTTCGGGAAGCGCCGTCGGTCCTCCGCGGCTTTCCTCCGGTCCCGGGGTGCGCTTCCAGGCGGCTGCGCCTCGCCGAGGGCGACGACGGGGGCGTGCCCGGAGCGTCCCGATCGGCCGCCAGAGAGCCGAGCCTGTGCATGGCCCGAAAACCCTGAGGGGGTTGGAGGCGACGACGGGGGCGACCGGCCACGGGGGAGCAACGCACTCGGGGGTGGACAGAGCCCCCAACAGTGACACGTCGACTAGAGAATTGTCCGTTTGCGGATCTCGAGAGGGCGCCGTGGCCGTTATTTTCCAGGCTTGCGCCCGCCAGGTTTGGGCCTCAGGTCGTCTTCACTAAACCACGTTGTACTAAAGGGGGGTCTGTCCATCCCCGACACACGTATCCAAGAGCCGGCAACGCGTAAGAGAGACCTGTCGCCCCAGAGTGGGCCTTGGTGTCGGCACAGTGGGTGGGGCCCCCAGCGTGCTGGATGCGCTGCGATAGTGGCGACTTGCGCGCTCCGGTGCGGCCTCACGGCGGCCCCCGAACGTCGCGCCCCGCGGGCCACTCCTGCCTGGGGTCACTCCTGCGCGCAGCCGAGCCAGGAACATCACCAAGGAGCGGGCCGACGGTGTGCCCGCGGAGGGGGCGTCCCAGGCTTGAGGAACAAAGAATGGCACACACACATACTTCTCGGAGGTCCGCGCGGATTTCCTGGATCGGCGCTGGGCCCTCCTGGCGGTTCCTCCAGCGCTGCCCCATGGGGCGCCCCGCGCGCGAGGGAGGGGGGTCCAGCGCCGATCCAAAAAGTCCGCGCGGACTTCCGAAAAGTTTGTGCTTCTGCCGCTTTTCGTTCCTCTACAGAAGGGGTCCGATGTTGTGCTCGCGGAGTCGGCGTCCCCGGCGGAACTGAGCCCGTCTGCCAGCAGCATGGCCAGCAGCTCGGCGAACGGCTCGGACCCAGACTCGTGGCAGAGGAGCATCCCTCTGGAAGGCTTTGGTGACCTCGGCGGCAGCGGCATCCCTGGCGTCGACCCTGCCAAGCTGTACGACCGTTTCGGCCTGCTCGCGGAGCTGCACATGCCAGGGGCAATTCTGGAGGAGATCCGAAGCGGCTCCCACGGCTCCCTGGCGGGCTTCCTGGGCAAGCTCCACGGGGCCCTCTGCGCGGCCGCCCGGGTGGACAGGAGCCGCCTGCTCCTGATCGGCCTGCACGGCCGGTACCAGCAGATTGACGGGGCGAACGTCTCTGGCGACCGCGGGGAGCGCTTGGGCCCAGAGGTGCTGGTGAAGCTGCAGCTGACACCGGCGGCCGCGCCGGCCACGCAGGCCAGCAACGCGGCAGAGGTTCCCCTGCCCCCCTCGAGGCTCTTCAGCCGACTCCGCGACGAGCTGCAGCTGGAGACCAGCGCGCTGAGGCGGGGAGATCTCGGAGCGATCCTGCGGGGCGCCCACCTGTCGTTCGGTAGCAAATCATGGAGCCTTACCTATACGACCACCCTTCGGGTGATAAGGAGGTTCGGGGGGAGGAGCCAACGTCTCACTCAATCGTTCTCGCTATCGATCTCACTATCAATCTCACTATCGATTTCATCCGTAGCCATTTGGCTCAAGTTCGAAACGTGCGTCCCTGGCGCTTCGAACTTGGACGCTGCCGAGGGATGGCCCAAAGCGTCCCATTCGAGGTCAGGCCTGTGTCCCTTGCCGTGCGCCAAAGCACGCTTCGTTTTGGTATTTTGCCTCACTTGCTTCTCACCATTCCTCGCACCACTCCAGTCTGCCCTAGACAGTCCGCGCTGATGGGTCCTCGCGCTGCTGGGAAGAAGCCTGGCCGCCTTGCAGCGAGGAGCTCGAGCAGTCCTTCACGCATCCGAGCCCAGCATCGGCGCATCGCCAGCGGGTCCCTGCTCACCGTGTCGACAGCAGCGACGACGGCGACAGCCGCAGCCGCAGTGGTCGTGTGTGCTCGCCGCCGCCCGCCCGTGCACTCTTTTGGATGGCCGAGATCATCCAGATCGTCAGAGACCCCAACAACAAGTTGGTCACATTCGAGCAGAGCTTCGAGCAGGAGGTCTCGGCGATGCGCGCGACCATGGAAGTGCATGACAGAAACGTTCGTTCAATACACGAGAGGAGTGTCATCATCGAGGCTGGGAGCCAGGTGTCCATCGTCGCTGCTGTCGCCGCCGCTGTGTACGTTCGTCCCAGATCTCGGCGATCCACTCCCAGTTTCAGGCGCCCGCCATCTCCCCCTCGCAGGGCATGGAGATCGATGGACAGCCTCCCCCCGTTCTTGCAGGTAAGTGCGCCGATATTGAAACCCAGTTTCAAGACTTCGCCGATCGGCAGAGGATGGCCGAAACCAAGATTTGTGCCCTTGCCTCTCCTCCTACGCCGCCATCCTCAGCATCGGTCGCGGGCTCTTCTTCGAGTGGAGGCTCCCGCCGCACCACAGTTGGCATCGAGGAGCAGCAGCACGACACGTGCAAGCTCCTATTGCTGGGCTTCCCGCGTCCGCGGCTATTCAAGGATCTGATTGATGTAGGCTCTGCGTGTGTTTCCGGTTTTGCCTGCGCGGCTGATTCGCCGAGAATCTTTCTCCGTGCTTTCGATCTCTCGAAGAAAGTCATGTCGATGTTCGAAAATGCGAATGCTGCTAGTTCCTTTTTAGACATCTGCTCCAGGTGTGGCGGCACCGGGAGCACTCTTGACCCCCTCCACTCAACGGCGCCCTTCACCCTGCGTCCCCCGTCGAGACGTCGACTTCAGTGTCCGCCAGCTGTTTTTATCTTTGGGCCGCGTCCGTGTCCGTCTCAGTGAGTTAGTCCCCCCCAAGGGCCTCGAGGTCGGGAGCTCAGGGCTTGGGGTCTCGGCCTACATCCTTTGTGGCCCGCGCGACCCAGTAGCCGCGGTCAAAGTGCAGGCTTGTGACCATTGCACGTCGATTAGCGAATTGGCCGTTTTCGGTTCTCGAGTGGGCGTCGCGGCCGTCATTTTTGCGGCTCCAGGTCCGTTGGTTTCGGTCCCAGGCCGTTTTTTCAAAAAGGAGGTTTACTAAAAGAAGGTTTGCCCACCGCCGAAACTGTGCATTCAAGAGCGCATTCCATCGGTAGAGCAGGCAGGTGCGGTCCTTTTGAAACGCCCCTTTTCACGCTGAGGCTTACTGCTCTACAGAATAGGTACCCCCCTCACCGTCTTGTCGCCCTTTTTGTCCTCCCCCCCCGCTCCTTGTCCGGTTGCGCCTGGGACGCCGACGCCCTCTTCGCGACGGTCAAGACCGATTTGTGGCGGGCCAGATCGAGGTATGCGCAGCGCATGACAGCATCCAATACATACGACGCTATCGCAGCACAAGGAGCACACCGGCACGTGGGTAATATCGCAGAGCTCCAGCCGTAGCTTCCTGGACACGAGTTCGGGTATTCCTGTTTCGCTGACTCTGTGCGTGACGGCGGCGTCGTCACCGCCATCTCTGCGGAGCTTGCCTCCCGCCGTCGAGCATGCCCCTCTGGTTGCGGGGGTGGTTGTGAGGAGTATGCTCCGCGGGCCCCTGGGCGACGTGATTGTCTGCAATCTCCACCTTCCCAACACCTCTGACTCTATGGGTTTCTTCTCTGGATCACTGAACGTGTTTTTTTGAAGCGTCGCCAGCTTGGTGGTGAAGAATTCGAGGCGCGCGCTTTATTCTTGGGCGACTGGAACTTCGCGCTGGAGGAGGAGGGGGGACTCCGTGGGGGCGGGAGTGGTTTCACTGCTGGAGGTGCCGCGCAATCGCGCTGCTTCCGTCGCCTCTTCCCCCTTCTCACGGAGCTGTTTCAAGACCTCGACGCCCGAAGGTGAAGAAGAGGCAGGGTGGTTGACAGCCCCTCGCGTGTAGACAGTAATTTTACATCATTGCCGTCCGCCCTGATCAGGGATTACTTTATTTCGACGTCGACCTTTGCCCTGAAGTGAAGTCCGCGATGCCGAGTGATCATATTCCTGTTCGTGCTGTTTTTGAACGGTTTCGCCCCGACCGTGGGCGCCCCTGTATCTCCCCTTGGGTTGATGGAATGCCCGAGTTTGGTCAGGCCCTCGAGGAGTCGTTGACTAAGATGCCTGGGGGATGGGATGTCTGGGCCGAACTCTCGATTGCCAAGACCTTTTCATTGAGGCGGGGAGGAGGGCGCGCTGGGCCCTTCGCCGCCGGCCTGCCATCAGCGTGCAGGGGCAGCGCTGCTGGGCGCTCGCTGCACTTCTCGCCGTTCAGACTGGCGACGCCGCCGGAGTCCAGCTCGCCTTCGGGCGCAGCCCGCGCCCCCGCCCTCGCTCCGACGCCCGCCTTACGTGCGTGCATGTCCGTGGTTCTCTCTCTCTCGGCGCGTCTTTTTGTCTGCGCCGCCGTGTCCTGCATGCGGTGGAGCGGGGGTGGGTCCATCCTCGCGCATTGCAGATGATGTCAAACGCTCTATGGCTGCTCGCCTCCGCCGTCGTATTCTCCCCCGGCAAGAATTTCGCAGGCGCGCGGTCCTGGGCGCGGTCGAGGCCTCTGATGGGCCCCCTACTGGCTCCCCCGAAGAATCCGCTCGGCTTCTCGGCGGTCGCCGCCCCCGGCGTGGGCTCCTCTTCCCGGCGGCGTGCCCTCGATGGCCCTCTTAGTCAGGAGCGGCGTCTGGAGTAACCCTGCCGGCGTGACTTCGTTTGAAACATCCGCGTGCATCGCGGGTGCGCTGCTCTTGCTACCTTGCCCTTTTCGACGGAACTTCCACCTGCTCCCCGAAGACATGGCGTGCAGTTTTTTTGGGGGCGTTCCCCCCCGAGGGCGCGGGCCCCCCTCGACGCTCCTGGCCAGGCCTTCGCCCGTGAAACTAGCGCCGCTCGCCCGCTAAGTGTGGGGGGCTGTGCGTCGCGCCCATCGCTGCGAGCGCGGCCCCACTCGCTGGCGCGGGGCGGAAGTGCGCGGGGGGGGGGGGCATGATTGAGATCGTTGTCAGGGCAGAGGCTTGGGGGGGGCGAGGAGGTTCATGAATGGCGAAAAGCACTCTGCCCTTTTGCTCGCCGACTTCGCATCCGCGTCCCCGAGCCCAGCGCGCGGCTGGGTCTGTTTGGTGCTGCGCGCCGCGGCGTGCGCTTCCAATGCTGGTATCGTCGCTGCGGGGGTCAACGTTTCCAGCCCATTCGAATCGGGTGTCAGGCGTGGGCGCCCTGCTTCGTCGTTCCTCTGCGCGCTTGCAACGGGCCCGTTACTTGCCTGGATGAGGCTCCAGCGCGCCGCGAATATCAGTTTATCCTTGGCCGATGCTCATGACTTCTGCCCTGGTGTGGTGAGCGTGCTCGCTCGCATTGGCCCATTCCATCGGTTTTGGCGGAGCTCGAGGCCGTCGCGAACCTTCGCCTGGATTTCGAGAAATGCCAGATCGCATTATGCTGCGGCACCTGGTGTTGGCCGTCTTACCTCGGTGTTGGTGACGTTTGGTGCCCCCTTTCTGTCGCCTGCAGGTTGCCTTGTGGGCCGTCTACATGGGGTTCCCCAGTGGGCCGAGCGCGGCCCCCGAAGTCTGGCCCGCGGGTATTCCGGATTTCTTTTCCAGGGTGCGCCAGACGCGGCAGTTCGTGCTAGGCGCTGCGCAGTCGGCGATGGCTGTCCGCGTGATGTGCGTCTCGAAGCTTCTCTTCCGTCTGCAGCTGTGCCCGCCCGGTGCCGCGCTCAACCGCCAGTTCCGTGAGTGCGTCGCGCGGCTTGCATCTGGGCCTGGGAACGTCATCACTTACAACATTGCGATTCAGCTCAAAGCGATTGGCTTGCGCACGGATTTCGTTAACCTCGTCGCTGTCGCGCAGTCCGCCGCGAGCAGGTACCGCTCGTGCTCTGGTCGGCTGCATGGTGTTCTGGAGGACCTCGATCAGGCTCGTGGTGACCTCCAGCACATCCCCTACGGCTGGCACTGCGGTTGGCATGAACGCAATCTTCTGGGGCTGCGTGCCTAAATCTCGCGGCTGGTTTCAAGGGTTCTCGACTGGCCTCGGCGCTGGAACTTCTGAGCTCCCAAACAAGTTGTACATGCACTTTAAGTCGATCCAGCGGTCTGGGTCAGCTCGGGGCACCTTCCTGCAGCGCGCGCGCCGTTTTTGCCTTGAAGTTTGCCCTGAGCATATTGAGACGATTCGGCGAGTGTGCCCGGCCGCATCTATGTACATCGGGATTGTCCTCTGCGCATTTTGACGGGTTCGATCTGTCTGCGCGAGCGGGGTGTGTGTGTTCGGATGCGGCGGCCCCGACGGCGATGACGCAGACTCGCTCAGCCACTACTCCAAGTGTCCTCCCCTCAAAGCTCTTCTCTTTCGGGAGTGGATGGGGAGGACTATGCGTGTGTATCGAGGCGCAGTGAGATACCATTGGTTCCCCGCTGGCCAGCCCGTCAGCCTGCTTTCAAGCGCGCTGCCTGCGCGCATGCCTTGACTTGCGCCCCCTCGGTGCGCGACGCCTGGGCCGCCCTGCCGCTCCCAAGCTGGCGCCCGAGGCCCGTCTGCGAGTCGCCCCTTCGGGGGCGCCCCGAGCTTGCCCGAGCGCGGAGCGAAGCCCGGCCTCTTCTCTCGCCCGTCAAGTCTGCGAGGGCGGCGGCCCGTCGGCCGGGGAGCGCCGCCGCAGCGAGCGCCTGGCACCCCTCGCGGCAGGCGGGGGCTCCCTTCCTTCAGTGCCGCCGCCCCCGCGCCACGATTCTGGCTCGTGCTGCTCGGCGCGCGCGCCGACCGCCTTTCAGCATCCAGCGAACAGAACCCAGCGGGGACAGGATAAAGACAAACACGATCGATCTTGCCATCGATCACACTATTGGCCTTGCGATCGATGTCGCTCTCGACATCACTATCGGTATCACCATCGACCTCGCCAGCGATCTCACTACGGGACACCGACGGAACACCGACGGGACACCGACACAGGACAGCGACAGGACAGCGACGGGACACCGACGGAACGCTGACGGGACACCGACGGGACAGCGACGGGACAACAACGGGATACCGACGGGACAGCGACGGGACACCACGGCGGGACAACCCGGCCACTGCCCGCACACCGGGCAGGTTCGGACAGTTGACTTGTTCCGACCTAGCAACAGCGGGGTCATTTCTCTCTCCCGTCCACGCAGGTTTGATTCGCACGCACGACGCGAACCCGAAGCCGAAACCGAAACCGATTTCCAGGAGGGGGGCTCTCCTTTCCACTTCGATCTCACCTCCCAAGCTCCAATATACCCGCGTAGTTCCGTCTATCGAGCGCACTGGCATCGACTAGCGTTTGGCAATCGATGAGGTAGCGCCGATTGAGCTTCGATTAGCGTCGGTGTAGCATCGCTGTAGCGTCGATTCGCGTCGTTGTTGCGTCGATTCGCAAGAGCCGTCAAGATGGTATGGGAGGCTCCCGTGAATGGCCACCGAACTGTCGCTCGTGTCGCTGCCGGCCTCGCCGTTCGGAGCCTCCGCTGGCGAAGCCGACAGGCCGACCGGCCTCTCGGCCATGCTGGTGCCGGTTGGCGCCTCCGCGGCTTTCACGGGCGCGCTCGTGTGGCTGGCCACGTGGTAGCGGGGGCCGCCCGGGGGCGCGCCGGCAGCAGTGCGTCCCAGGGCGTTCGAGCACAGAGGGCACGTCGGATAAGGAGTCGGCCTGCCGTCGGAGGGGAGAAGAGAGCCCAGGGGAGGGCATGGAACGCGTTCGCCTGGTAGCCCCGCCTGAGGCATGGACCTTCGGCGCCCCGGGCTACACGTGGTGCTCCCCCCTGGGGTATTCGCCCCTGCCGTCGCATCCGGTGCAAGCGTGCGCCCCGCAGAATTTTCTCCCCCCCCGACGGCCCCAGGGAGCCGCGGAAGCTGGGGGGCACCCGGGGACCCTCGAGGATCGTCGAAGAATGTGCCCCCAGATGTCGGACAGCCAGACTCTTACCGTATATGTCCACCGTGCTCTGCCCCTTGTCTCGCGCCTCGTCACAAGGCACGAGGAAGCGCATTGCCGCGGCCCCGCCGCCCCGCCGAGTCCTCTCAGACGAAGAGGACCGGACCCGATCACGCGCGCCAGATCGGAGTTGTCTCTCCGCCTCCGCCCGGACCGCCCCTTCTCTCCCCGTCTTCCTCCTCCGATGAGCCAGACCCCCTGGATGTGGCCAGAGGTTCCGGGCACGGCAGGTGGCTCCTTATTGGGTAGAGATGTGGGGCTGAGTTTGGCGAGTCCTGTTGTGTGTGTGTGTGTGTGTGTGTGTTCCATCGCCGACGTGTGTGTGTGTGTGTGTGTGTGTGTGTGTGCGCCCAAGAAACACTCACACACAGGCACATACACAGGCACACATAGATGCACACACACACCGACACACACACAAACAGTCACAGACATGCAGACACACGCAGCGCGCGCCTCCCACAATAACTACCAATAAGGCCCCCCCCAGAAGAGCACGTAACACGCATACCCACACGCATACAGTACACATCGCAGCGCGCAACGTATAGAGCAAGCCACCGCACGCATAAGACGCGACACGACACACAAATCAACACGCAACTCGCACACGTGCCATGAAACTTAGCTCGTGCACGCCCGGCATACGTGGAACAAACAACACGCACACACCGTGCGCCTCCCTCCCCGCCCGCCCAGCACACGCTCGGCATGCGCACTGCGCGTCCCCCCCCCTCAGTCCGCCCAGCACACGCTCCCGCCCGCCCAGCCCACACCCTGCACGCGCACTCGCATAGCTGCGCACGCGCATGCGCGCACGCACCACGCGCAGCACCGAGCTCGGGCAACCACTTGACGCAGGCTGCGGACGGCAACCGCCCGGATGCTCCTGGGAAGCCATGCCGCCCAGGCTCCGTGCGCACCGATTTCGGTCTGGGCGCAAATCCCTGCGCGCGGGCACAAAAGGCCAGAGATGCGAGCGGCGCTCCCCGTGCTTGTCAGGTCAGGTTTCCCTTTGGGGGCGTTTCTCTCGAGTCTGCATCCATCGAATGATATGTTGCCAACAAGAACAAAGCAGCGTTTTGTTCGAGACATCCTCGAACAAGGAGGTGCAGGACGAGCTGTGCTGAGGCGCGCGTTCCCATACAAGTAAGGAATCCGCTCGAGACATCCTCAACACATCAGATGTTTGAGAGCTGTTTTGCGACGTGCTATCCCCAAACACACAAGCGTACGTAATCGCATAACGCATTTCACACACATCACACAACACGTAGGGCAGATCGCACAACGCACCATCAGGCTACACAGCACACAGCACATGGTATACACTTTCGCGCACACACACACACGAACACAGCACATCACAACACACCACAACACAACACACCACAACACAACACAACACAACACAGCACAACACACAACATACTACACAGCACAAACACACAACACAACACAACACACCACAACACAACACAGCACAGCACAACATTACCACAATACACAACATCACAACCCACCACAACACAGCACAACTCAGCACAGCACAGCACAACACAACACAAAGCAACACAACACAACACAACACACAACACAACACGACACAACACGACAGAGCACACAACATAGCACATCACAACACAACACACCACAACACAACACAACACAGCACAACACAACACGCCACAACACGCAAAATCACAACACAACGCAGCACAACACAGCACAGTACAGCACAACACACAACACAACACAACACAGTACAACACAACAACAATCACAATCACAACCACAATCACAACCACAACCACAACCACAACCACAACCACAACCACAACCACAACCCAACACAACACAACATACGCAACACACCATACCACAACACAACACAACACAACACAACACAGCACACACAACACAGAACACACATAACACACGCCACACACAACACACGCGACACGCACAACACACGCAACACACAGCACGCAACACACACAACGCTCACAACGCACATACCAAGCAACATACACCGCACAACGCAACATGTACAGCACACAGGGTAGACGCCATAACACGCACAGCGCATAACACGCACAACACACGTGCACATACCGTGCGCCTCCTCCCCCCCTCGCTCGCCCAGTACACATTCGACACGCGTACCGTACGCCCCTGCCTCCCTCCCTCCCGCCCACCAGCACGGCATACCACCAGAGCACAGCAGACCAGCACGGCAGACCATGGCAGCAACACGACAGGGCAGCACGGCATACACGACGGATCATCATACGAACCCAGTTTGCAAAAGCGATGATTTCCGTTTTTGTCCAGTCAGGTTTTAGTTTTGATCCCATCGCCGTCTTCTTGAGGCGTCAGAGTTCGGATTATTGAGGCTCTGAGGACTCAGACGGGCATTGATGAGCTCACCCCCCGACGGGATGGGGACCAGGGGGAGGTGGACAGTGAATCATCGCATGCGTCTTGTTCCCTCCAGCAAGCCAGTCGGGGCGCTACGCGCAGCGCCGCAGTCAAGATTTTTGTTCGCCGAGCTCCGCGCAGCTTTCAGCATGTGCACCTGCCCTCCCATAGCTCCTCTGGCTCAAGGATTCGACCGCGGCTCGCACCATCTGGCGGCTCCCCTGCTGCGTGATGGCCGCTCACGCGCAGCCACAGCCACGTCAGGCGGCAGGGTGCGGCGGCAGGCATGGTGCAAGTACGCTCGGCGGCCACCCACGCTGCCTTTGCCGTGCCGGCTCCTCCGGCCAGTCACGGCGGGTCCACGGCAGGCCCAGCTCTCCGCGGTGGAGCGCGCGCCTTGGGGCTGGAGCTGCGCAGCCTGGCGCGGCGTGGCCTGTGGGAGGAGGCGCTGGCCTCTCTGCGGCGCTGCCGAGAGAGCGGCGGCTGTCCCGATGCGATCTGCTGCAGCACTGTCATTGGCGCCTGCGCGCGTGCGGAGCAGTGGCAGCGGGCGCTGGCGCTGCTCGCGGGGATGCAGGAAGGCGGCCCCGAGCCAGACGTGATCTGCCACAGCGGCGTCCTCAGTGCCTGTGGCAGGGGTGGCCAGTGGTCGCTGGTGCTGTCCTTGCTGCAGGACATGGCTGACGGTCGGCTGGACGCGGAGGTCGTCGGCCTCTCCACCGCGATCTCCGCGTGCGGCAAGGCCAGCCAGTGGCAACGCGCTCTGGTGGTCTTCGAGGGGATGCGGAGCGTGGGCCTGCAGCCGAACGTCCCCGCCTTCAATGCGGCCATCAGCGCTTGCGAAGGCGGCGGGCAGTGGACCGTGGCCTTGGCCCTGCTGGCACAGATGCGGTCGGTCGGCCTCGAGCCAAACGTTGTTGGCTACAGCGCGGCCATCAGCGCCTGCTCCAGCGGCCAGCGATGGCAGACCGCGCTAGCTGTATTCGATGAGATGTGCCTGCAGGCGCTGGAGCCCAACGTGATCACGTACAGCGCCGTCATCACCGCGTTCGAGCGGGGCCAGCAGTGGGAGCTCGCGCTGAGGGTGCTTGCAGTGATGGAGGACAACGGCGTGGCTCCGAACGTCGTCAGCTACACTGCGGCCGTCAGCGCCTGCTCGGCGGGCGGGGGCTGGGAGCAGGCCCTTGCCCTGCTGTCCGAGATGAAGTCGCGCCGTGTGGCGCTCACCGCCTTCGCGCTCGGCGCGGCGACGAGCGTGTGCGGGCATCACGGCGAGTGGGAGGCTTCGTTGCTGCTGCTATCGCAGATGAGGGGCGCCCGATTGGGCTGCAGCGTAGCCGCCTGCAGCGCTGCCGTCGCTGCGTGCGGCGTCGGCGAGGAGTGGGCACGCGCCCTTTCGGTCCTGGCGGAGATGCTGGCAACGCCGAACGACGTCTGCTTCGCAGCCGCCATCACCGCCTGCGCCAACGCTGGGCAGTGGGAGCAGGCGTTGGCAGCCCTAGCCTGGATGGGGCAGGCGGCCCTCGAGCCGGAGGCGTTCAGCCAGACGGCGGCCATCAGCGCCTGCGAGAAGGGCGGGCAGTGGCAGAGGGCGCTGCAGCTCTTCTCGCAGATGGCACGGCGTGGAGTGGTCCCCACCCTCGTCAGCTACAATGCCGCCCTCGCCGCGTCCGCCTCGGGCGGGCAGGGCGCGCTGGCGGGCGCCCTGCTGGGGCGCATGCAGAGCGAGAGGCTGGAGCCGAACGCGATCAGCCACAACGCGGCCTACGCGGCGGCGGTGCGTGGTGGTGCGCACTGGAGAGAGGCCGTTGAGCTGCTGCACGCCATGCTGGCCGCGTCCGTCGAGCCCACCACTGCCTCCCACAAGCTCGCCGCAGGAGCCTGTGCTCAGGCGGCGGGCGGCGACGGGGCGCTCCTGGCACTCCTCCTGGGCCGCGTGCTCGACAGAGCCGACCCCAGCGTGAGCCGGGAAGTGTACAGCGCGCTGCTCTCGGAGTGCGAGCAGCAGCGGCTGCTCTCTCGCGAGACCGCGCTGTTGCAGGTGCTCGGTGCCCAGGGTGCCGACCACGGCTCCGAGGGCCTGGCTGGGGCGGCCGCGGTGGCGGCGTCGAGCCGGCTGCTGGCGGAGGGTCAGGTCGAGGAGGCCGCCGCGGAGCTGAGGCGCGCGGCAGAGCACGGGCGGTTCAACGCGGCCGCGGGGGAGCTGTGGCACCGCTGCGGTCTGCCACCCGCTTCGAAGCCCCTGCTGCCCGGCGGGGCGCCGGGGCCCGCGCTGCAGGAGTGGGCGGGGGCGGCCCGCGCGGGCAGAGGCCCGTGCTCGAAGGAGCTCTGCATCCTCCGCTACGTGCTCGAGGCCGCGGTGCCTGGCGACGCCGCCTCCGTCTGCAGCGCGGTGGACGAGTTCGGCGAGCTCGCCTGGGCGGCCCACGGGGTGTGGCTCCCGAACTGTGGTGGCTCCAAGACGCGAGCCCTGTCCGCCGCCGTGAGGGGCGCCGTGCCCAGCCGCCACGGGGTCCTCGAGATAGGCTCCTACATCGGCTACTCCGCCACCAGGATGGCCCTCGCCAGCGGCGAGGCGCGCATCACGACGCTGGAGGTCGACCCCACCGTTGTCCTGGTGGCTCGCAATATCGTCGCTCTGGCGGGATTCTCACACCGCGTGCATGTCTGGACGGGGCACAGCACGCAGCTCCTGCCGACTCTCGCCGGGCGCTGTGCGGGAGGCGAAGGCTCCTTCGGGGCGGTCTTCATGGACCGCTGGGGCTCGCAGTATCTGGAGGACTTCGCGCTCCTGGAGCGGTGTCGCCTGCTGCACCCCCGGGCCCTGATCATCGCCGACAACCTCCTGATGACGGGCGCCGTTCTCTTCCTTTGGCGCATGTGGCGCGGCGCGCAGGCCACCCAGCTTGCCGCGGTGCGCGAGTACGCCTCGCAGCTGGACGACTGGATGTCCATCACCGTGTGCGGGGCGCCCGCAGCCGAGGCGGAGCCCCCCGCCCACCTGCGGCGCGCCCACCGCAGCGCCGAGCGCCTGCGGCGGCGCGTGCTCGGCCCCGGCGCCCCCGTGGTCGTCGCCGAGCGCGTGCGGGCGGCCGCGGAGTTCCGGCGCGCGCTCGAGGCGGCCGGCATCGTGGCCAGCTGCGCCTTCCCGCCGTAGGCCGGCTCCCGCCCTGGGGCACGGCGCCGGCGCCCGGGTCGCAGCCTCGGGGCGCTCACCCGCGAGCCGGGCGCCAGCGCGCGCTCGAGGCGGGCGGCGCGGCGGCCAGCTGCGCCGCTTGCCGCCGTGGCCCGCCCGCGCCCCGGCCGTGGGCCTCCCCAGCCGTGGGCTCCGAGCAGACGTGGCCGGAGGGCCGCGCCGCATCGCCGACGCTCGGGGCGCCCCGTCCGCGGGCTGCCTCGCGGCGGCTGCCGTTGGCAGCCCTCGCAGGGGGCTCGCGCCACTGCGGCGGCGTGCACCGCGCGGCGCGCGGCGGGCGCGGCGGCCTCCAAGGGGGCGCGGCGGCCCTCTCGAGAGGGGTGCCGCCCGGCCGGCCTGCGAGGGCCGCGCGGAGGGCCGCGGGGGGCGGCCGGCGGCGGCGCGGGTGATCGAGGTGGCCAAGCAGCACATCTGGCGCGCACCGGGCGGAGGGAGGAGCTCGCCCGGGAGGTCGAGGCACTGCCCGGCTCGGGGGGCGCCGCCGCCGCGCGCTGCGCGCGCGCTGCACGCGCCCGCAGGCTGGCAGCTTGCAGCCGCGTATGGGCCGCTCATTCCCTCCCTCTCTCCCCACTGCTCTCTCTCTCTCTCTCTTTCTCTCTGTCTCTGTCTCCCTCCCCCCCTTGTCCTCCTCTCCTCCTCCCTCATTTCTTGCTCTCCCTCATCCCTCTCCTTTCTCTCCCTAATTTCTCCTCTCCTCCCCCTCCCTTCTTACTCTCCCTCAGTGGTTCAGTCCTCCCTCCCTGCCTTCTTCCTTCCTCCCCCCTCCTCTCTTCCTATCCTCCTCTCTCCTCCCGCCGACAGGGAGACCAGCTCAGCATTGACCACGGCACAGCGCCCATGGCATCGTCCCACCACCACCACCACCACCACCACCACCACCACCACCACCACCACCACCACCACCACCACCACCACCACCACCACCACCACCACCACCACCACCACCACCACCACCACCACCACCACCACCACCACCACCACCACCACCACCACCACCACCACCACCACCACCACCACCACCACCACTCCACCTCTCTCTCTCGCTCTCACACCTCCTCTCTTCCTCCCTCCTCCCTGCTGTTCCTTCCCCCTCTACCCCCCCCCCGTTTCCTTTCCCCCCCCCCCCGACCCCAGCCGTGCCCCCCCTCCCCGCAGCGACTGCTCCGCTCTCCCCCCCCCAGGTGGCGCCAGGAACTGCCAGCACGAGAGACCTACGGCAGGCCGCCCGCTGCAGCCGTCTCTCGGGGTGGGCAGGGGCCGCTTGGGGATGCGCCGGGCGTGGCGTTCTCCCAGGATCCAGATCTCCGACGTCGTGATTCCCCCGTGAGTCCACACGCCGGAAAAGAGCGACCTCTTCGCCCATCCGCAGCAGAAGGGGCCATTTGACGGGTGAGCAGAGGCCCTCTGTGACAGAAGGGCCGGTCATCCCGTTCATCCTCCTGGTTCTCGAACTGGCATCGATCAGGAGGGGAAAAACCACACAGACACAGTTCATCGTCGATCCCCAGAAAAATATGGGAAGTGGGGGGGAAGACAAAAACCCAGAAAATATGGGGAAATATTGGGAATCCTGTTATTTGTTTGTTTTTATTTGTGTGTCCCAGGGCCCCTTCAATCGATCTTGCTTCTCCAGTGTCTCGCACTGGCATTCTCCCAGAACCGAGATCTCCGACGTCGTGCTTCCCCAGTTACAGCAATGAGGATGTATGGAGGTTCTCTTGGCTGCTTTTGAGCTGTCGGTGAGATCCAGGCCAGCAGATGCCAGCAACTGCAGTGCCAAGGCAACGCTAAGCAACGCCAAACAACGCCAAGCAATGACAAGCAATACCAAACTGCCAAGCAATGCGAAGCAGTGCCAAGCAGCGCCAGACAGCGCCAAGGAATGCCAAGCAATGACAAGCAACGCCAAGCATTGTCGAGGAATGCCATGAACTGCCACATCAATGCCAACTCAATCCCAAGGAGTGCCATGGAACGCCAAGGAGCGCCAAGAAATGCCAAGTAATGCCAAACACAACCTTCACACATTTCGTGGGCCTGTCAGAAGTTTCACCGAAAGCCTCAGTGGCAGGGTATGGCATGCTGTCCCTCTCTCGTTTCGGCACACCTCTCACTCGTTCCGTGGCCCCGCAGGGAGCTCCACCCGAAGGCCCGAGCGGCAAGGTCTCGCATGCTGCCCCCTCGCCTATCTCGGCACACCGCTCACGCGTTTCGGTGCCCCACAGGGAGCTCCACCGAAGGCCTCAGCGGCAGAGTATTGCGTATCGCGTGCTGTCCCCTCGCCCGTTTCGGCACACGCTCAGGCGTCTCGTGGCACCACAGGGACTCGACCGAAGTCCTCAGTCGCACGGTGTTGCATAGGGCCCCCCTGCATATTTCGGCACACATCTCACGCGTTGCGTGACCTCACAGGGCGCGTCTTCCTTTTCGCGGCGCAGTGCTGATGAGGGGAGTGCGAGATTTTGCGCCACTCACAGCTGCTTTCGGTTGGGCCCTTCGTTGGGCTCTACTCGTTATGTCTAAGCGAGCAAGCGTTACCCAGCGGTTTCGCAAACCTGACTCAGGATAGTACCGCGGAGGCATGTGTCGTGCCTGCTCAAAGGCTGGCCCTTGGAGGAGGCCGCGAGACAGGGTGAGAAAACGGGGGAGAAGTGGAGGCGGGCACGCGGGGACGGAGAGGGAGAGGGAGGGAGAGAGTGGGAGGGAGGCGAGGGAGGGCTTGAAGGGATGGATGGAGACTTGGGTGAGGGAGACTTAGTTGATGGACGAGACTTGGGTGAAGGAGGAGACTTGGTTGATGGAGAGAGGGAGACTAGGGATGACTGGAAGAGAGGGAGGGAGGCTCTTCGCGAGACTCGACCTGGAACTGCCTGCCTAGGCAGGGCTGTAAGCCTGTTTGGACCGGGCGGCACGAGCACAGCGCAGCATCAAAAATGGGAGGCAGGGGCGCAGGGACGGAGAGGAAGACCTGGCATCGCTCGGACGTGTGCATTTTTTCTCGGCGAGGGCCATCGAGGAGCATCCCTGATCATTTTGCGAAACATCCACGCACGAAACCGAAAAAAGCACAGGGAATGGACGTCCGAGCGATGGCGAGTAGAGGAGGAGGCTCGAGAGGGACGGGAGAACATGGAGCGGGAGTGAGAGGAAGAGTTCAAGGGAGGGATGGATGGAAGCAAGGGAGTGGCAACCCCTGAGATCCGACGCTGCGAAAGAAAACAGCGCCGCGAACAATCAGGACGAACGCCCGAGACCCTATCTCTCTGCACCATTTTTAGAGCCGGATCGATCTGCGATGGTCCCAGGGCCAGAAACCGGGCCAAACGCTTGGCGTGACGAAATTGCAACGCCCACATCTCAGCAGCAGCCTCCGCGCCGGAGCCATTTTTTCGCGCACCCGCGCCGTCCGGCCGAGGCGAAGATGGGGGCGAATAGCCCAGGGGCGAGCGTTACATGTACTCGCAGGGGAGCCTCGCCGAAGACGTGATCCCGACTCCTCCGACTAGATTCGATCCGATCTCGTTCGATTCCGGTTGCGATTCGATTCGGCTTCGGGTTCCGACCTGGACTTCGGCCTCTCGATGGAGGCCTTGCCGGCCTGCCCATCTCCGCCGAGCCGACGTCTCCCGACTTGGCTGCCGAACTCCGCCGACCCGACTCGCTTCGATCGGCGACGCGACTTGTCGATCCGACTCTGGGCTCTCCTGCGATCCTGGAAGGGCGGAGGTGCGACGACGGCCGCCGCCGATGGTCCATGTCTTCGGCGAGGCGCCCCCGCGAAGCCGCGCGCTGCCCGCCCCCGGGCGGTTCGCCGCTCCCCCTGCTGGGCTGAATGGAGAACAGGGGAACGTCAGCGGCAGCAGCGTGGAACGGGGACAGAGCCGCGGGCAGCGCGTCCTCCTCCTCTTCCTCCTCCTCCCTCCTCCTCCTCGTCCTCCTCCTCGTCCTTCTCCTTCCCATCCTCCAGGCCCTCCTCCTTCTCATCCTCCTCCTCGTCCTCCTCCTCCTCCTCCCTCCTCCTCCTCCTCCTCCTCCTCCTCCTCCTCCTCCTCCTCCTGGTCCTCTTCCTCCTCGTTCTCCTCCTCGTCCTCCTCCTCGTCCTCCTCCTCCCCGTCCTCCTCCTCCGCCTCCTCCTCCTCCTCCTCCTCCTCCTCGTCGGGTTTCCTGTTTGGGTCGATCCCGGGGAGGTGCGCCGACGGCCGCAGCCCGGGGCTTCCTCCGCGAGCGGGGGCTCCCTCCGACGAGCCCGAGAGCGCCGGCCCTCCGCCGAGCCCTCTGGCCGCCGAGGGCCCCGTGCGCTGCAGCGCCTCCGCGCCGGGCGCGGAAGTCTCGACGGCCGACCTTCCGACGGCCGACGTCGCGACGACCGACGCCTCGTCGACCGACGCCTCGACGGCCGCGCGCGGTTTCGCCTCGGCGGCCGGCGTCGCGACGGCCGACGTCGCGACGGCCGACGCCTCGACGGCCGCGCGCAGGTTCGCCTCGGCGGCCGACGTGGCGCCCCGCGCCCCTGCTGCGGCGCCCCGCTGGGCAGGGGCGGAGAGGGGCGCGGCCTCGGAGGCCCGGGGCCGGGCCGTGTGCCTGCCCCGGGCCCCTCGTGGCGTCGGGCGCGCGAGCACCCGGGCGCCCGAGAGGGGCACGCGAAGGAGTGGGTACTCCAGATGTCGTAATAAAAGGGGAGGGGGTCTGGACCCTCCGAGACGAGCCATTTCAGACCCCCCCCCCCGTGGGGAGAACCCTCCCAAACATCGTCCCCAGACCACCCCAGGCCCTCCAAGATAGCCTGGAAAAGACCCCCCCCGAAATGAGACCCCCCCTCCCTTTATTACGAAATCTGGAGTACGATGCCCAGCAGCAGCTCCTGTGCGTTTTGAGCAGGACGCGCTGTCCGCGCCGCCGGGGCCCGTGCCCACTCGGGGCAGGAGGCCGCCTGCCCGACCGCGGCCGCTGTTGGTTTGGGACAGCGCTTGGTGCTGGGCATTGTACCCATTTTTTCCGTACAGCCGGGGCCCCGAACCCTTTGCGTTGGGGAGGGGCTCCGTGTTTCTTAATTGTTTCGCAGCTTTCCTTGGATTTTCCATAGGTTTTCGATACGAAATCGAAGTTCAACTTATGGAAAGTAGGGGCCTCGTTCCTTATTTAGGTTTCCTTAGGTCAACGCCCCCACTGTACCCATCTTGAGCGTCCAAAGCAGTGCCGGTCGCCTGTCAGGCGGCTTCACGCAGGAGTGCTCCTTCGCCAGGGCGGGCCCAGAGGTGGTCCGCCCAGCACCAGCCTGCGCGCTTGGACTGCACTTTTCAGGAGGGGAAAAAACACACAGACCCAATTAATCCTCGATTCCCAGGAAAATATGGGAAAATATGGGAAGTGGGGGGGAAGGCAAACACCCATAAAATATTGGAAAATATTGGGAATCCTTTTGTTTGTGCGTATTTTTTGTGTGTCCTGGGGCCCCTTCAGTAAGAAACTCCTGGATGGAGCGGGCCGCACGCTGGGCTTGGTCTCTTCCCGTTGGATCATGCACCCGCCAGGCGTTTTTTGGCCTGGCTCCGGGCCCCGGGACCATCACAGATCGATCCGGCTGGGAAAAACTTTGGTAGTCCCCAAACGTGGTGGTGACAACACCTGGCGGTGAGTCTCGGGCGATTTGGTGTCACCACCCGGTTTGGGGACTTGTGCGGTTTTCCGAGGATGTCCCGGACACTGGTGGGTCCAGGAGTCACAAAACCTGGTGGTGACCCCGCGTCCCCAAACCCAGCGGCGACCTTTTTGGGGATTCCAGGTCGCCACCTGGTATCTCACCACCCGGTTTGGGGGTTCCCAAAAACTGCTCAGAGAGGTGGGGTCCAGGGCTCTGGTCGTGACTGCTCGCGCCGCTGCCTCTCTTTCGCGGCGTCGGATCTCGGGGGCCCTCCCTCGTCCCGCTCCCTCCCCTCGTCGCGAGGATGTCAAGACGTCGGACGTCTGTTTCCATGTTTGTCCTCAGGGACCCTCGCCAAGTCCCGGGGCCGTCCAGGGACGACTCGGGACGAGAAGCCAGTCCCTCCTCCCTTGTCCCATTTCGATTCGATCGAACCGTTGTGGTATCGATTTCAGCCAATCCTTACCAGCCTGGAACATATCCCTATCCCTATGCTGGGCATCTACTCATCACGATGCCAATCTTAGGGATTCCCTTGTTTTTGAGGGCACATCCCTAAGATTGTCATCGCTTTTTGGCGTGTCAATCTTAGGGATAGGGATACGTTCGAGGCTGGTAAAATCCGTTTCGATCTCGATTTTCTGGCGATCCGATGCGGCCCGATGCTTGCGTGGCGCTGCTGTGCG